GATGAAATAATATTCTCTTACTTAAGATAATAGGAAGGAAGAGTTTCAAGGTAGGGTTTTAATCACTTCGCTTAGATGTAACATTTCCTCTTTCTCAATCCACGACAACCTTCACTCGACAACAGAGTTTTGAACAGTCGAGTTGTGAGAATGTGAGCAGCTGCTGTTATTATAACTAAAGGTCTGTCTACTGCTTGAGTCTGAGAGACCACATGTTCGGCTGTCCTCTCATCTTGCCATCCTCACCAATTAACTATTAACATGGAGGGCTGTACACATGCTCTTGGGGGCTCTTTAACAGGCTTCTTGGCGAGTGGAACGGCTACACAGCAGGGATCTGGGAACCGAGTAACGCTGGAATACAGGGGAGCCGTCCGTAGCTTTACTCCTTCTAACGACGCTTTACTCCACAGTTCCGTGTAACAAAGTCCATATTTAACTTGGCCATTTTCACATACATTTTTAATAAAGTGTCTTTGGGTAGATACTAAAACGATATTCTAGCAAGACACAATATGAGTAGTAACACTACTTCACAGGGAAAACTGTTTAGACTATACATGTATATATATTTTAAGTCAATCATACTTTATTTGATGAATAATTTTAGTGTTTTCAGCTAACAGATATTTAGAATTCATTTTTATGCATTTGTTTTAATGTATGCTTGCTATTTCCTGTGCTGTGATGAAAATACTCTTTAACCCAAAGGAAATAGGTCAAAGTTGTGAGGCGGAACACAAAGTAGTTCAAATACAATTCTTTTTCACTCTACTTGCAAAAGTCTTATCATAACAAGTTAAAATCAGTTTTGAATCTATGTCATTATTTTCCCTATTTTAACTTTTTCCCCTCTTTGTAATTTCCTTAACTATGTGTTCCTTCTCTACAATGAAATTAAACATGGGAAGCATGCCAAAAGTACAATAAAGGGTAACTAATCATTACTGTACAAGTCTGACAGAATGCTAATAACTAAAGTAAGAACACTGATTGGCTGTTTTTCCAGTCTATGAGGAATAGATATTTTATATATTTTTAATCTAGTGTTACTTAACATAACATATTCAAATAAAAGTCACAATTCTGTTACCTATAGGTGTTTAATTATATGACAGTATTTCCAAGGATATCAAACTACATTTCTATTTCTTGCAAAAATCCACTTTACTATCAAATATCAAGCTCAAGCATCCAAAATACATACATATATGAATTGTCTGCTCCATCCATCCTATCTTTCACATTGAAAAAATTTCAGGAGGATGGGACCTTGCTTGTTTTATTCACAACTATATCCCCATGGATACCTAGAATAGTACCTGCAATAAATATTTCTTGATTGAATAAGCTAAATTATTCAATCACCATTTAAAGTTTGACTTAGAGTCTTCAGGGGTGACACTAGTCATAATTGAGAGGAAGCTACTGTATGATGTTAAAAAGAGTCATGTTACAACAAGGGGATGTTACTAAGACTTCAGTGGCCTTCAGACGCCAGCCATGCTTCCTAACCTGTCTCGCCTGTAAGAAGATCTTGTCTGTGTCATTCATGAAAAGGGGCAGAAAGCTGAAGATGTCTGTTGCTTTGATGCACTTACATACCTTAGTTTTCGTACCTCTGATCTCTGTTCAAATTCTCAGTTTTGGAGGTCTGTTTAAGTAATAATAGTGAAGGTGACAATTGGTAACATGTAATGAGTGCCTTCCATGTGCCAGCACCGGGTCAGTCCATGTTATTGCTAATGTTCTGAATTTTTACAAAAGAAGAAGCTGAGGCTGAGAAAGTTAGACTTGATTAAACCATATAACTAACTGGGTCTATCTCCCTCCATGGCCCAGGTTCCTTCTATCACTGAATGCTACTTTGTGCACAGTTTGCTTCTTAATTTTGGCCCTATTTAGTACTTCATTGAACAAGCAGAATAGCATGGTAGTTGAGTATGGTCATTGAAGGGGGAACTGCTTAGATCTAAATCTTGCCATTCCACTAGTTGTATGATCTTGGGCAAGTCACTATAATTTTCAGTCCCTTGTTTCTTATTTGTAAAATGGAAATAATGACAGCACCAACAATATAGGACTAAATGATAATGACAGTAATATAAGGATTAAATAAGTTAATATTTGAAAAGATCTCAGGACTGCAACTGGCCTGTAGAAATCACTGTGTAAGTTTTTAAAAAACAAACTCACAGTTTCCTGATTCTGTATATGCATATGTCTTTGATTAGCTTTGTAAGCACTTTTTATTCTCTTGGCCTAAACATTGTGATTTTCCTTGCCAGTCTTTAAGAGTTAGTTTTATCCACTATTTATTACATATCATGGCTGGTTTTAGCAAACTGTTAAGTTTTACATTTTCTCCTATGTATTTCGATAAAAAAACAAAAACAAAACATGGTCAGGTGTCATGCTCAAAGAATAAGGAATAATTTTTTTTTAATAACGCCAGTGATATTAGGACTACAAGACTACTATATGATATCTAGGCAAAACTGTTCAGGGAAGAGACTGGTGTATTTATCACCAAAGTCTGACCATATGTCTTCCTATTTCTACTTCAAAATAGTCTCTTAAAATGTATAATTTAAATTACATCTTTTTCAGTAATGTAAGAATTTAAACACATCTATAAAATACCAAAATTCAAACACTGGTTAATGTTCAGACATCCAGTTCACCTTATCATCTCAACCATTGTTTAATCAGTGGTGAATACTGGATGATCTAAGGTCTTCTTATAATATTACTCCTCTTCCCTTAGACAGAGGCTAGAGAAATCACTGTCACAAATATTCACAATAGGTTTGGAATCTCTTCTCGAAATACCAAGGATGATCACTACCAAAAATGGCTTTAAAAATTTTTTTTCTTTCTCTTCTTTATTGCATAGGCACCTTTGGAATAAATTTTAAAATCACATATATTCATCTATTTATTTCCTAATTGTTTTGGTTCTTAAATTTAAGTCTTTGATTCATTCTGAATTATTTTTTGTGTATAATGTGAGGTAAGGATCCAAGTTCATTCTTTTGCCTGTAGCTAGCAAGTGGTCCAATGCCATTTGTTGAAAGGCTGTTCTCTTTCTATTGAATGGTCTTGGTGCCGTTGTTGAAAACTGGTTGAGCATAGATGCCTGGGTCTACTTCTAAACTCTCAATTCTATTCTGTTGGTTTATATGTTTATTCTTATTCAAGTACTAGACTCTTTATAGACCTCCAAATTTCAACTGTATCTGTTATATTTCTGTTAATTTAACTAAATGTAAAGTTCTCAGGGACCCATGGAGTGTCACCAAGTATACAGTCCTTGTTTTTTTGACTTGCTTGAATATGTCATTTAAGTTCAGATCTCAGTTGGAAAACAGGGATAATGCTTAACATATCCAAGGACAGGAGCCTAGCTCAGGTGAACCCTTATTTTCCTATAATATGATTCTAGAATCTGATTTTCTGGGTTCAAATTATGGTTTTTCAAGTATTTAACTTTGATCTAATTTCTTAGTTTCTCTGTACTTCAGTTTCCTTATAAGTAAAATGAAGATAACAATAGCATTTACTTAAAAATTCTGTAAGAATTGTTAGGTCCTGACTGAAAGTGCTTGCTGGTTACTCTTATTGTTATATTTGCTATGTCTTAGAGAAGTAAAACAAACCTCAAAACTTCTCTGCTATAATTTACTCCAAATCAAAGTTTTTTAATATGTTCATTAGAAAAGATTTAGTGATTTCAGTGATTTTGACTTTCACATTCCCTTCATTGTAGCAGATATTTCAGTTATTTCTAGTATCATGTTACAGTTTATATGTATATATACACACATTATAGTGTATATGTGTATACTGTATACACACACACACACACACACACACACACACTCACTGTGGAAGTACTTCCAAACTTGCCATGTGAACACTCTTAGGAAAAGAATTTTTTTGAATCGATGAAGAAATCTTACAAAGACCCTTCTTTTCCTGGGGAGATTGGCTTCTCTTTCTGAGAGTGTGGCTTCAGAATAATTTTATATATATATATGTATAATTATATGAATAAGACTGGTCTCTTCCTTGCCTCTTGTTCAGATATATATGTGCGTACACATATATATCTGAACAAGAGGCAAAAAAGGGACCAGTCTTATTAATTAAGATCAGCTTCTTTCTTTCCCATTTTTTTTTACTGTGGTAAAATACATTCAATGTAAAATTTATCATTTAACCATTTTAAAGTACACAGTTAAGTGGTATTAAATACATTCATAATGTGCTACCACCACCACCAGCTATCTCCAGAACTCTTTCCATCTTCTAAAACTGAAACTCCATACCCATTTAACAATAAGTCCTCATTGTCTCCCACCATCAGCTCCTGGCACCCACCATTCTACTTTCTGTCTCCATAATTTTGACCACTCTAAGTGGGTCATATAAGTAGATTTACAGTATTTATCTCTCAATGACTGACTTATTTCACTTAACAAAATGTTCTCAATATTTACTCCTGTTGTAACACACATCAGAATTTCCTTCCTTTTTAGGGTTGAATAATATCCTGTTGTATGGATATGCCACATTTGCCTATCCAGCTGTCAGTGAATAGTCAGGCTGCTTCTACATTTTAGGTCTTGTGAATAACGCTGCTAAACATAGGTGTAAAATTATCTCAAGATCTATATTCAGATTGGTTTTATGATCAATGAAAAGATATGCAGCAAAATCAACCTCACATCACAATGATATTAGCAAGTTTACAATAAATCCAAGAAAAATTATAATAAAATTAGTAAAGATGAAATTACCATATACTTACTGTATATTAAAACCATAGATACTAAAGTATTGGATAATCTTAAAAGATACCTTGCTGCTTTGGCATTTTAAGCATCTAAAATCTCTTTTACACAAATGACACATGAAAATAATTTATAAAGCATTTATATACGGCTCTTCAACAATGAACCACAAGTTAGGAGAAAGTAGTTTTGGGAAATTCTTACCTGGATAAGGTGTGTTGGCATTGTAATGATACAGGCTGAAAGAGAGGATCGCAGAAGTCCACGGAGTATATAGAGGAACTTTGTGAGGCTATGACTTGTGTCACAGTTTTCTGTACAGCAAATATCATCTCCCCACAAAGGTGAACCAAGATTCTGGATTCCTATTCTTAAAATGTTTTTCTGTTTTTTCTAAGGAAAAGTGAGAAAAAGGTAAACACAATAAGTTTTAGTAAACGACAGGATACCTCTTTTACTTTTATCTGCCAGTTCTCATTTTTATTTAAAACAGATTAGAGAGATAATGTCAACAGATGTAGGAAAAAACTTCATGTAGTATCAATAATAAGGCAATATAAAGGAGATCTTTAAGATTATGATACTGTTAAAAATAGCAGAACTATTTTTTTCTTGTGCTTTTTCCTTTTGGAAAAATTGAGGAGTATCACAGGCCTTAAACTTAATAGTTTCTAAATTTTAACAGTGACTAAGAATTATGTTTGAGGCAATTAAAGTAATACATAACAAATCACAGGTAAGAATAAAGAGAATCTAAACTAGAATGCGTACAAGCCATTCTTAGTATTACAAAATTCTGTCTTACAATAAACTACAGAGTGCTCACTATTTCTCAGATAAATTCTATCATGTTCATTGTCTACTATTCTGTGTGGAAGAAGTTTAAAAATGTATTTTTTGGTGTTTAACATTTTGCACTTGCCTCTATTTTTTCTTCTTGAAGCTATTTTTATGATAACTTGACACTTTTCACAAAGCAGGTGAACATTTATTTAGAACTTGAGCCCATTGACATTAAGGTCGAAACAACAGTGAAAGATATTTCTTGGGGAAAAGAGCATTGAAAAACCATTAAGTAAAACCTAATTTGAATGTCAATAAATGTTTGCCAGCAGATATGTTTATAACAAATCTTACTATTTGGGTTATTCTAACCAAACAAATGTTTTGCAAATGCGTTCCTTAGCAATTCAGCAAAATTTCCAGGCAAAGGAAGGAGCTATCAGCAAAACCTGGCACAATGAAATAATTGGAAAATCATTACAATTCTAACAGGAAAAATAAGATTTATTCTCCTAAAGCAAAGATTTGGAACATGCCTTTCTAGACATGATTTCTGATGAAACAAGATCCTAAACGTGCTACTGCTATAAAATGCCATTAATAAAATTTATGAAAGTGATTTTCTGTAAATCCAAGGAGGATTTGTTGATAAAAGGAAGTAGGGAAAATGAATAAAACATTGAAATGTTATAAGAGGAAAACCTAAGAAGATAGTAGTTAGTAAGACAGGTAAAATAGAGGCTTTTAAATATGCACTGCACAGCTAAGTGGATGTATGATTTTGGACAAAACACATACATTACTTAGGTCTTAGTTTTCTCATCTCTAAAATAAAAAGGTTAGAACAGAATATTGCTCTATGAGACTATGCATGGCTGTGTGTGTGCTTAGCTGTGTCTGACTCTCTGTGACCCCATGGACTACAGCCTGCCAGCCTCCTCTGTCCTGGGATTCTCCAGACAAAAATACAGGAGTGGGCTGCCATTTCCTCCTCCAGGAGATCTTCCCAACCCAGGGATTGAATCCAAGTGTCTTGTGTCTCCTACACTGGCAGACAGATTCTTTACCACTGAGCGACCAGGGAAGCCCCTATGAGACTATATAATTCCTCAAATAAATAAAGTGATACAACAGCCTATATAAAACTATGAGAATGAAATTTAAAACAGAAGAATTTAGTCTAAGAACATTTGAGAAAAACCTTTTGACTTCAGGGACCTACAGCACAATGACAATATGAAGGCTGTTGGGTCAGTTTCCTTTCCTGCTTGCCTTGAGGGTATGATGACAATATGATTGCATAGGTTGTGATCCTCAACAGTCCATAAAAAATGCTTTCTTTGTATTTCTGTATTGAATAAAATAATGTAGTATATGTTAGAAGTATAAATAAATTTCTGATGAGTTCCTGTGAAGTATCTGTGAAATATAACAGGTTATTCATTTTTCTGTATTACTTAGAAACTTGGAATTTAAACCAAATGGCAAGAGTAAGGTTCATATTCTCATCCCCAAATTTGCTATCTCATGATCTATAGTATAAGTTAGATTCTTAAAAGAATGAGCAACCTGGAAGAAAAAAACTTCCAAGCAAAATCTAGATATTAGAATGAAATCTGATGGTAAAAGGAGAACAGCATCATATTGTGTACCCTGTCAACATTTCAGAAAGGTCAGCTGTATTTTAACCCACAGTCATGATTACCTACTACTGTTGGATCAGAAAGTTTATACAAGTTTTTAACAAAATTGCTCTCAGGTGCAGAATGAGGACAACCACAGTTTAGTGACTTTGACAGTTACACTGATATACACATATAGGAAGAATGAAAAGATTAAGCCAGAGAATGGATGAGTGATAGATATTTAAGTGAAGTAGGTACATAGCACATTAGAACATAATTGAGCATAATACTTAGCAGAGATAATACATCTATATTTTTAGAAATATGACAGTATTATAAAAACAAAGGCTGAGTTATGAATTTCCTGTGTTATTTGGAACATATAATTCCTTGCTATATCATAAAATAATGGGGCATACTGAGAGGCATAATAAAATTAAAAAAATATACTTTTTTTAAAAAAAAATTATTTATTTATTTTTTTTATCACAACCATAGTGTATCTTTTTTTTTTTTTTTTTTACATGTATTCCCCATCCCGGTCCCCCCTCCCACCTCCCTCTCCACCCAATCCCTCTGGGTCTTCCCAGTGCACCAGGCCCGAGCACTTGTCTCATGCATCCAACCTGGGCTGGTGAACTGTTTCACCCTAGATGAAACTGGAGCCCATTATACAGAGCGAAGTAAGCCAGAAAGATAAAGACCATTACAGTATACTAACACATATATATGGAATTTAGAAAGATGGTAACGATAACCCTATGTGCAAAACAGAAAAAGAGACTCCTATGTATAGAACAGACTTGTGGACTCTGGGAGAAGGCGAGGGTGGGATGTTTCAAGAAAAATATACTTTTGCTGACAGCTGAACAATAAATAAATTTATTCCTTAGAGAATATCTAAAATATTTAATCTGGTACTCTAAGTAAAAATCAATGTTCAAATTTCACTTATTGTATTATTTCTTAGATATCTGAAAATGAAAAATAAAATTATGACAGCAATTTGTAAATGTTCCCACTCCAAATATCTTTACAGATAAGCTACAATACTTTATTTTTACCATTATTAATTATACAGTAGTATATAATATTCTATTCCTTAGTGTCCATTTGTTGACTCCAACTAGTTTATTTGCAAATGTAGTGACGGAGAAAGTAAGATGGAAATATCCTTTTAAAAAGTAGGATTTACTTCAGTGTCAGGATATTATCTTGACTCAGGAATAATATTTTTGAAATAGTGCCTGATAGATGTATTTTCGTGGCTTTTGGAAGTCATCTAAAGTTTCTGTGACAGATAAACAGTCTTAGTAATTTAGCAAATGATGTAATCCATAATTCAAAAATATAAAAATTCATTAACTATATTTTAGTTCCAACAAAATAGGAAATATATTTATAATAACTTATTTGCATATTTAATTAAAATTATTTTTTAGCATTCCCAGTACTCACCATAAAAATGTATTTCTCAACCCTGTTTAATCTTTATGAAAGTTATAGAACCTCTGGTTCAGAGACCCAAACCAGTCTGTTGTCTATTAATGTTCATAAAATAAAATATCATTTATTTAAAATGGTGTTAATTCATATTCAAAGAAACAAGTAAGAAAAGCTTTTCATTCCATTCTAATAATAGCTTACTTTTAAGGGTTCTTTGGATGTGTGTGTGTGTGTGTGTACATACCTATGTATGTAAGTATGAGGGTATTTATTATTGCCTTTGCTTTTCTTGCATTCTGTAAAATTTCTTGCTCTTAGAAGATGTGTCATCCTACAAGAGCAGCAGCTCTGCACAATGTACCACAGGAACTGTTATGACATGCCTGTTTCCATAGTTACCAGAGCGCGTGGGGAGAGGTGTCTGTCAGGGACCAATTTACCTCTCCAGACGGGCACTGCCACCAAAGAGAAGACATGGAGCCCATAAATCTTAGCTAGACCAAAAATGGAGCAACAATGACCAAAATAAAAGTGTAGTAAATACCAAGGGCTGTCACAAAAACTGTAACATACAAGAAAGACCATCTATAAATGAGTATGTGCCTTACCATACAGACATAAATATTTTTAACCTGCTATTAAACTGATGATCAAAACAGACTCTAAAAGTATTTCTTTTGCCATGGACAAAGTGTTAAATATAGCAATAAAGCTAAAGAATATTTAAAAATCTATGATACGAATTAAGAGCAAGTGTGGTTAATAATGCCAAAAATAAGACTTCCAGCTTTTTTGTCTTCTTCAACAAAAATAATGGTGCTCTGGAAATAATTCTGCTAAAATAATATAAATGAAATGCAAATCTTTTAGCAGCAATAGCAATTAAAATCACTGAGGAAGAATTGTGAAAGGCATGATATCTAGAAATAAAATTTCCCTCATTTTGTTCAAGTTAAACTAACTGGAACATTTTTAATGGTAGGAATCCAGAGGAAGTTTTTAAAAATAGAGCTACAGAGAAATAGTGAAGATATAAAATATTTTAATGTAGCAAATAAAAAATGCATCTTTTATTCAATGAGACAACTCAGAGCATAATATAATAAATAAAATCTTGAAACTCATAATTCAAAATTAAGGCCTGAGTGACATAACTATAAAACATTAAGACAGAAAAATACAAGTCCTGCAAATTTAACAGTAATTTTCAAGCTATGTTATTTATTAATTCCAGGCACTACAAATACATATTTAAAAGTAATTCACGTTGACAATGCATATGAACATTTTCTGTGTATCCATTGAGACCTTAGCAAAAATTCAAAACGCACATTTATAGTCAAACTAAGGCTGCATGTGTTCTGCTTATTTACATCCTCTGTGTTTAGAAACAGCTTGCTCACTGTTGATTATTCTAAGCCCTTCTGGTTCTAGCCCTAGAGAGTTTAAAGACAACATTACATACATAATTATAAAAAGGTTTGAAGTTTCTCAATACCTGGGGATTGGATCCATCAAATCCTTCTTCATAAATAATGTTCTGGATAAACTGGAGCAGCTTCATGTAGCCAGAGGTCAAAGAACTGTTGATTAAGAAGTGGTTCAAATACATACATGGGCTTATTACACAGCAAATACAAACTGTAAGCTACAACATTAAATAATTTTTTTTTAAAAAACACACATTTATGAGATTATACTGAAATATCAGATAAGCCAAAATAATATAAATAATTCTAAAATTAAAAGTCAATACATGCATGGAATAAGTTGCATTGCCCTATATTAACTAACTCAATGCTCTTGACATCATGGGAAGATAAAAATCTGTGGAGACTGAGATGACTTGATTTTATGTCAGGCTTAGTTACTACCAAGAAAATTAACGATTTAATGAAGCAACCTAAAAGATGAAGCCATTATAGCTTTTCAGGAGTAATCATGGATAATTAACACATAGTTAATAAACTGCTATGCCAAGTACACCTGAATCAACATCCTGATCACCTGAGCTTATCTTCCATCAAAGTTTTAATATTCTTAGAACAAAATTGCAAAAATAATACTAATTCAAAAACAATTTTTTAAGACAAATGAAGACAAGTGGATATAAACTCCACTTTTGTTTGTAAAAAGATGACAAAAAATATATAAATTTAAGAGGATAAACTATTTCCTATATGAATATTAGCATTAGTGTTACTATTTCAAAATATTTTACAAGTGCTATGAAACATTAAAAAAATTATTAAGAGTTAAGAAAATCTGCTTAAATACTAACTGAATTTAAGATTCTTCATGATGGACAACTTGTGTGCCAAGTCTGAACATAAAATGAGACGATGATGAAATTCTGGAACACTGCAATTTCATAGAAACTGAAGTGCCTAATACTGTAGAAGCTGTGGGTGATCTTAAAAATACAAAAGCATATGCTTTACTGTGATCTTAAGTAAAGTGATCATATAGGTAGAAGTGCCTGCCATAGGAAAGAAGAAAATGTAATTTGAAGCATTCAGGTAACATTAAAGAATATTCTTAAGAAGCTAGGAAATGCAGCAAACCACTTAAATAAATGTGCACAAAATTAATGATAAGTGGTTTAGCAAAAATATATGTACATCTTTGTAAACATTTTATTGACTAGTCAAATCTAGTCTAAAAGTACATCTCTAATAACAACAACAAAAGAAAACCAAGAGAAGAGAATGGTGTTCTGTGCAAGACAAGTAGTACTCCAATCGAAGCATTTGGCAATACAATTATTTCTCATATACTTATTTCTCCATTTTCAATGAAAATACAATGGATTACATGAAGGAGATATTTTTCTACTTTTCCTGAGTGAGGAAATGTGTCTATAAATAATCATATTCCACAAGGACAACGACGTGACTATTTTGCATCTTAACACCTATTTGTCCTGGCAAGTCCAACTTTCAGAACACAGTGTTTTTGTTTGAACACAACAGATTCAATTTCTATCTGGGTCAATTAGCTTCAGCAGCTACAATCTGCTCCAAGATTTTATCATGAAATGAATTCCAGCCAACCATTTGATGGAAGTCACTATGGGTTAAAGGAGGGTGGATCAAAAACATATCCAGTGTAGCCTAATCCACCAATATTGAATCTACCTATGACCATTATTATTTCATATATTCAAAAAGTTTCTCAAGTATTTTTCCTTCTGCCCTAAGTTGTTAGATAATAAAATCTGCCTCAAGTATTTGGTAGTAAATTTGGTGTCTAAAGGCCCATTACTAAATACCACATACATAAATTACTTTTTTAGTTTTATTTGCTACCATTTATCCATTTCATCTTTTCACAGCTTGATAACTACAGTATATCTAAGATCCTCTTCAATGGTATGGGGACAGTGGTTCTTGTGGTATGAGAACAAAAACAAGACATAAAGCCAAATATGCCTTAGTCTTTTTTCTTATTTCACACTGACATACATAATCCAATCACTAACAGTGATTAGATATAATAACAAATTTCTCCAAACTTGTAAGATTTCTAGGAAAATAAACACTTTGATGAATGGGAAAAAAATCAATACATTTAGCTATATTAAGAATATTCATTTTTAGATACCTGGGATTAGAACTTTTAAAACTTAACTAGTTTATATAATATTAACATTAAAATACTAAGTATTGTTAATCTTCATACTGACAATTCCTTGTCAACAATATTTTATGGTAAGATTTTTTTACTGAAAATGAATATCTTGTGTCATCCAAATTTTTTTTATTAAACCTCTTTAATTTTGAGGATGTTGCCTTTTTATTTGTTCAGCAGTCTAGTAACTCATAAAACAGGAGTTGTCAAGAAGTAAATCCAGTTACAGATATGACCCTGGCTTCCTTATTAATGTTTCCAAACATTTAACAAGATAGGTTATCATGGTGTGTACAACATATCCCACTGGCAGCACATTTCAAATCATGTATATTATTTTGCTTGATTTTCATAATTTTTGATAACTTTCATAGTAAAATTACCTATCATGAAATTCTACAACGTCTTTAAAACTATACTGCTGCTGCTGCTAAGCTGCTTCAGTTGTGTCTGACTCTGTGCGACCTCATAGACGGCAGCCCACCAGGCTCCCCGTCCTATAACAGTACAAAAATATTAAAAATTAGAATTTTAACTTTACCTTTAAAATATTGGGCATTTAAATTTTTCTTTAGTTAAAAAATTGTCCAGGTGCATTATGTATCTGCTATTACCATGCTGTCTGATATGAATTTCTTTATACTAATATACAAATATGGACAAAAGGGGTCCAATTACCCAGTGTAAACCTATATGCTGATGCCCAAGTTAACATCTTTAAAACGTTTATAAAAAACATGAGACTTTCATGCCTTATCAATGTCCCTCCTCCTCCAATTTTCAGCAATAGGTCCAATGGATATTAGAATCAGAGAACTGTAATTTATATCAACAAATGGCATTAGTTTTCCTGTGAAAGGTAATTTTGTCATTTAATCTCATCGAAAAAGATAAACACTACTGTAAAAAAAAATCAGATGTATATCTAGAAAATAAATCTGGTAATCAGATAATAAATAATAGATAATTACCTTGTACCTTCTCAAACAATGAACAAAGGAATACTACAGAGGTCTTAATGTGATGAAAGAATAAATGTACCAACAACAAAAAAGCTTAGGTAAAAGGAGATAAGATTTTATCTGTGAAAAAACATTACAAAAATAAAATCAGTATATGTGAAATTAACTAGTTGATAAATGAAAAGCTAACTCTTAGATAATAAATATATCAACTGGCAAAGTATCTGGCACATTAAATACTGAAAAACCTTTTGCATCACTGTCACAACATTTGATCATTATGGTAGCTTTGTGAGGTAAATACAACCATTAACTCCATTTTATGGTTGAGAAAATTAAGACCCATTAGAGACTAAGTAATCTGACCATGGTTGTACAACAATTAAGTAACAGAAGTGGCACCTAAAATTCAAGTTTTCTAAAACTTCAAGTTCTTTTGGTTAAACTAGAGTGAGGTCCAGATTCAATGAAAAGTCTCTGGGTGCAAATACACAAATGTGGCTCAGATGAGGTTTGAACATAGCTCAATTCAACACAGTCAAAGTATTCAGGTATATGGTCATATATATGGGTGTGCCTACTCAGTCGTGTCTGCCTTCTTGTGACCCCATGGACTATAGCATGCCAGGCTCCATGGGATTCATCAGGCAAGAATACTGGAATGGGTTGCCATTTCCTTCTCCAGGGGATCTTCCGACCCAGGGATCCAGCCCATGTCTCCTGTGGCTCCTGCAATGGCAGGCAGATTCTTTACCACTGAGCCACCTGTCATAGGAAGGTATTTTTCTTTTAGTTGCATTGGTGAGAACTTCACCAATAGATAGGCCTTGTATTAACTCGATGTATGGTTTATAAAGAAAATTCAATATTGAAAAGCACAGATTCACAAATACAGAAACTAGGAACCAGTATAGCACAGTGGAGAGTGTGCTCAAGATCTGGGTTCCAGTTCTATCTGTACCAGCAACTGTAGCAAATATGTGATTTGAGGCAAATTCTTTAATTTTTCTGTTCTGAACTTTGAAATTTTCTCATCTGTAAACCAAAGGAGCATACTAGATAATCTCTGTGGTCCATTCTGACTTAAAATTATATGATTCAAGAATTAATTTTCCTTTCTATTTTAAGAATGACTTTTCTCATTAAAATGATTCAGTGTTAGCTTTTTAAAAGTAAGAACTTCTTATGCATTTAAATATTGATGTTAACTACTTCTTAGGAAGAGGAACTAATAACTACCAATTATGATTGACTTAAAGTAAAGATGAAGCATTTTTGATATTATGCAAGTCACTGAGAAAATACAATTTGTATTACAAAAGATCTATTTACACATATATTTCAGGTATTCATCTATGACAAAGGGTGAGACATACTTGTAAGGCTGTAGGCACAATATCAAATGTTTCAACTAACTGTGTAAAATAGTTTGCTGAGCTAAAGTTATATTAGCATACAATTTGCATGCGGCTATAAAGACTGTGAAGTCTATTCACAAGTAATTTTCAAGTTAAAGATTCCATTATTATTACATTGAATGATGTCATTTATTATTTTTCTTTTCTGATGCTTTTCACCTAAGGACATTGAGTTTGATTCTCTTCATCATGGATACTCAATTAAGAGAACATAAAGGGACCAGGAATGTGTTAAGGGCACAAAGGTGGGCTGTGGCCAGCACAGACCTCTGGACCACAGCTGGGAAAGCACTAAGATCATGAAGATAGAAGAACTGTATGCATCTTGAAGCAATCCACTGACTGACAGGGACACTGTTGAGAATAGTTATGATCTTTCATGAAAAATAATTCAGTTCAATTACTCTGATTTCCATCAATTACTGATGTAAAAAAGTCATTAGATTATCTCCTACTACCCATCTTTACTGCTGTCATCTCTCCAACTTTGTGTCATTACTCATCTTTCAAACACCCTGGCGTTTCAGTTTCTTGACCTCCTCTCCTTCAACAATCTTGTCTCCATTCAACCTA